TTGGCCTACAAGTTCGTTCAGTTTTAAGTAAAAATAAAAGACATTTTTCACTTTCACGAAGGACTTTATTGAACAGCGTATTCACTAACCGAACGAATTTGTTGGCCAGCCCAATATTAATTGGCTAATTGTGTTTCCTTTTATGTGAGGAAATAGCCTGTTAATAGCCTCATCCTAGTTTTGTTGGATTGCTCGCCCTCTTCTTAACAACTGGTAGGACCTCTTTATGTTAGGATTATTATCTCCTTGACATGTCTTATGAATATTGCCTCTCAGTCTGTGGTTTTCTAAACTTGTCTAAAGACACTTTTGCCATATTGAGTAATATTTTAAAGGTAGTCTATAAGTAAGAACTTGTCCTACTGGATATTAAATTTTACTAATTAGTCAATGAGAACAATATGATATTGATATAGAAATAGACAACTGTAGCAGAATAGAGTGCCCAGGAGCAGATCCAAGTGTATTAGTGTCTTAAAATACAATGAGGGGGCATTTCAATTAAACTGGGGGAAAGAATGGAATATTTAACTACTTGTTTTAGATAATTGACTCTCTGTATATAAGAAAATAGTCTTCATACCTTGTACAAAAGTAAATTTCAGACAAATGAATGAATGAACCTGATTAAAAGGTTGGGTTCTTTTCCTTTAAGAGCCTGCAGGAATACCCTCTTCTTATCCCTGTCAAAGATTTATATTACACTGAAATTGCCCATTAATTTGTGTTTTCTTCTTCATTAGATTGTAAATACCGTGAAGGCAAGAATTATGTCTAATTTATTGTAGTATCTCCATTGCATAAGTGTATTCTTAGCACATAGTAGGTTCTTATATATAAGTATCTGTGGACTTAGTCAATGAATTTATTTGTCCCTTTCTTGTTCTGTATTCTATTTTCCATTCCCAAGAAAATTATCTACAGAATAAAATATATTATAGAAAGCTATTCACTTTGGTCTTAAACTTGTAGTAGTAATATAGTCGAGAGGCCAGGAGCCTGGGTTAGGATTGTTGGTAGTGGGTAGGGATAGAAGTAGATGGACTTCACAGAGATTTAGCAGGGAGTAGACTCAACAAGACCTTGATGATTTAGTTGAATGTTGTAGTGAACAAAGGAAAAAACATAAAAGAATGACTTAGAGACATTCATTGGGATATGTTATAGAGGAAAAGGGGCTTTTTTCTTATGTGAGGTTATTACTTGTTTGCCTTTTGGATGCAATTTTGTCTCCCTAACACTAGAACCCTATTGCAAGTGTAGTTCATCTTCAACTCATTGCTTTTCTCTTGAGAAACTTTTGTGTTTTCTGCTTCTTGCTTCTCCCAGTTGCTGAATTCTGTCTTATCTACAGCTACTTTACCTCTGAGGACAAGGTGGGGAAAGAATGTGAGTGGGCAAAGCCAGAGCATTGTTTAGCAGCCAGCAGGAAAGGAAAACTAGGAATATTTATGTATTCATCATTTTTTATTCTATCTCAAGGACGTTGTTTACTGTAGAAGAGGTTCAGTAAGGCACACTGAAAGCTCGGAAGTGAAGGGATCCATGGGTTTATTAAGGGAAGCACATAGCAGTATGTGGATGAAAGTAGAAGATAGATGATGACTCAAGGAGCCTAAGTTTTAAATGGCGACCGTGGGTGGCAAAAGTACACTTTCAAGAGAGGAAAGCCTTTGATGTAGAAGCCTTTGATCTTTTTATCCTCTGTTTGGTACCAAAAAAAATCCTGATTGGCACCTAGTAAATGTTTATTGAAGAAATGTGTTATGTTATATGACTTTCTATGTATAAATATTAGATTCCAGTTTTAATAGTAGACTTGTTTTTTGTTTGAAAACTTTCTGTGTTTGCTACTATACTCAAAGTACTTCTTTTTAAAGTAAGAGCTGTGGATTTCTGCTCTACATCCATTGCCAAATCTAGCAACATGTTTATGTTAACAAAATTTTATTACATTAAATTATTTTGTTCTAACCTTCTTGACAGAGACTGTTAAACATTAGGCCTAGTAAATATAGCCAGTAAACCATAGACCAGGATTTGAAATACATTGTTGCCCTAACTTTCAAAGATTTAAAACATAAAATTTTCTTTTATTTAACAAAATTGCCCATGCTTGTAGTTCTAATGTATAGTAATAAGAATGTGGGGCCTCCCTGGTGACGCAGTGGTTGAGAGTCCACCTGCCGATGCAGGGGACATGGGTTCGTGCCCCGGTCCGGGAGGATCCCACAAGCCGCAGAGCGGCTGGGCCCGTGAGCCATGGCTGCTGAGCCTGCGTGTCCGGAGCCTGTGCTCCGCAACGGGAGAGGCCACAACAGTGAGAGGCCCGCATACCGCAAAAACAAACAAACAAACAAAAAAAGAATGTGAATTTTCTCAAGACTCTTTAACTCTTAATGTCAATAAGATATTACTTGGTAATATCCTTGAAATAATAACTCCATTCTATAATAAAATGACCTGAACTTTAAGACATTATAACTGACATTCTAAATATATTTAATTTACTAACCATCATGCTAAGTGCTATACTCTGAAGAAGGTATCATTATTGTAGTTATATAGATGAGAAAGTAAAGTACCAAAGAAATTAATCTTTCAAAAGCCACTTATAACCCATAGTCAGAATTTGAATACAGGTCTCTCTGACTACAAAGTCCATCTTTCCACTATGTCTAGTTTGTTTTCACTCACTGTATGACATGACATAACATGACATACCATAATATACACATGTATATGTAATACATGTTTATAAAGCAATCCAGAAAAGAACAAAAAGCTGTGACATAGTCTGTAATCTAACAACCCAGAGATAATCGCTGTCAACATTTTGGTGTATACTCCTTGTTTTTTCTTTTTTGGTATACACACTCTGTAAAGGAACACTCTGTTGTTTTTGTTTACATTACACACAGTACTCTCTGCACAGTACTTCACTTCTGACATTAGATGTGTGGGTTTTCCACACATCAAGCAGTTCTCCCACACTAGCTGGGTGTCCTATAATTTAACTCAATTCTGATGCTGTCTAACTGGAGATAGCATCAGATCTCACAGGTTGAGGGTTCAGTCCTGCAAGATGGCTCCCCATACTCCCCAGTCCGAAGTCCATGTTGTTACTTGTGCTTCTGACCTACAGGCTATAGATCAGAGATTTCCACCACCCCTTCCTCTGATTCAGTTGCTTTGCTAGAGCAGCTCACAGAACTCAGGAACAGCCCAATGAAAGAGATGTGTAGGGCAGGTATGAGGAAAGGGGCACGGAGCTTCGTGCCCTCTCCAAGAATGTACCACTCTCCCAGCACCTCCACTTGTTTGCCAACCTGGGCACTGTCTAAACCCCATGCTGGTTTTTTATGAAGGCTTCATTACTTAAGCATGATTGATTAAATAATTGACCATTGATTTTTTTTAAAATTGAAGTATAGTTGATTTACAATGTTGTGTTAGTTTCTGGTGTACAGCAAAGTGATTCAGTTATTCTTTTATATATATATATATATATATACACACATATTCTTTTCTATTATGATTTATTATAGAGGATTGAGTATAGTTCTCTGTGCTGTACAGTAGGACCTTGTTGTTTATCTGTTTTATGTATAGTAGCTTGTATCTGCTAATCCCAAACTCATAAGTTATCCTTCTCCCACCCCCTTTCCCCTTTGGTAACTATAAGTTTGTTTATGTCTATGTCTGTGAGTCTGTTTCTGTTTTGAACATAAGTTCATTTGTGTTACATTTTAGATTCTACATATAAGTGATATCTTGTGGTATTTGTCTTTCTCTTTCTGACTTAATTTCACTTAGTATGATAATCTCTAGGTCCATCCATGTTGCTGCAAATGGCATTATTGCATTCTTTTTTATGGCTTAGTGGTATTCCATTGTGTATATGCACCACATCTTCTTTATCTATTCTTCTGTCCTTGGACACTTAGGTTGCTTCCATGTCTTGGCTATTGTAAATAGTGCTGCTATGAACATTGGGGTACATGTTTCTTTTTGAATTAGAGTTTTCTCCAGATATAAGCCCAGGAGTGGGATTGTTGGATCATATGACCGTTGATGATTGATTCAACTTCCAGTCCCTTTCCCTGGAGGTCCGGGGTTGGGAGGTGAGGGTGTGAGACTGTAAGTTCCAATACCCTAATCTTGGTTGGTTCCCTGGCAACCAGCTCCCATCCTTAGGTTTCCTAGGGGTTTTCCAAAAGTCACCTCATTAACATAAACTTAGGTGTGGTTGAAAGGGCTTGTTATAAATAACAAAAGACACCTTTATCTTGTCACTTAGGAAATTCCAATGGTTTTAAGGAACTCTCTGCTCTATTCCAAAAAATATATATTTCTTATTATAAATCACAGTATCACACACACATACCTGTAAGAATTCCTATCTAAAATTAGTTGGCTTCTGTTTATGTATACTTAAGAAAAATCCATTCTGATACTTGCACAGTATCAGAAATGGGAAGAGAAGCATATGGTGAGAATTGCTATATATTTTATATACCAGTGGCTTCCAAATGCTGATCCAAGTGCTGGTCATAATAAAGTTGTTATTGGTTCAAGATGAAATAAGGAAAATGTAGTGAGATGAAGATGAATTTATTCAACATAAATGACTGTCTTATTCTGAGTTTTAAAAATTTATTTGGAGAATTTAAATGTTTTTTCTTCTATGAAATGTTGGTAAAACTGTGGTCTGTTGTTGTAGTTGATGATGATGTTACTTTTCCATATTTTTACTTTGCAAACAACAACAACAAAGCAGTGATAGTCCTATATTGTTTCCTGCCCCAGTTTTTAGAAGATTTATTAACTGCTTTACGAAATTTTCAAGACTTATAAGTGACTGCTGCTGATCGTCTTACCCAGCTCCTTGTTAATTAACAACAAAAGTATTTGATCCAGTGCTATTTGACCTTGGTTTACATTAGATACATTGTTTTTTCCCCCTTATTTATTGAGTACATTTTATTTTTCATTCTCAGTACCTGGTTATGGATTATTATGTTGGTGGGGATTTGCTTACTCTACTAAGCAAATTTGAAGATAGATTGCCTGAAGATATGGCTCGATTTTACTTGGCTGAGATGGTGATAGCAATTGATTCAGTTCATCAACTGCATTATGTACACAGGTGAGTAAGATGCAGTGAAGGAGCGGATTGTATAAATGTCAAAAGAGATGTTTCTGTAAGAAAGTGGTGATTTTGATTGCCATGGAATACTTTCTTCTTTGTAAACTGTTCGACAGGTATAATGATTTATTTTAAGAATTTCCTACAAATGTGTTATTTTGTGTACCGTTTAAGATGGAATGAAAAAGCAGGCCATTTACAAAATGATTTTTGTGTAAGATTGTTCTTACGCCTGTTGACACATATTAAAAATCTCTGTAAACATCTCATAATAATTTATGTGTAGTAAAAAATGTTAAAACTTATTGGATGGTTTAAAAGGCAGTCTCACATTTTTAAAAGAAAGAAAGTAGGAAATCCTCACAAAGTTATTGGTGAATTGATCACTCAAATGAGAAAATCTTTGGGTTGTGCAAAATGTGAGAAAGTAAAGAGACGCTAAGGAGAAGGAGGGAAAGGGAAGGGATCCTGGCATGTTGGAAAGAAACAACCATTTTCTAAGACCATAGTTTGAAAACTTCAGCATGCATCAGAATCATATGGAGGGCTGTTAAAACTCCAGAGTTTCTGATTGAGTAGGTTGGATGGGTCTGGGGACTTGGCATCTCTAACACCTTCCCAGGTGATGCTGCTGCTTCTGCCCCTGCTGGTCTAGTGACCTCACTCGTGATAACTTACGCTCGAAGACAGCAATGGCTCTTTCTTTTTTTGCGGTACGCGGGCCTCTCACTGTTGTGGCCTCTCCCGTTGCGGAGCACAGGCTCCAGACGCGCAGGCTCAGCGGCCATGGCTCACGGAACCAGCCGCTCCGCGGCATGTGGGATCTTCCCAGACCGGGGCACGAACCTGTGTCCCCTGCATTGGCAGGCGGACTCTCAACCACTGCGCCACCAGGGAAGCCCGGCTCTTTCGTTTTGAGTTGTGGGTGATGAGAGTAATCTCTGTGAAGAGCAAGAATGTAGGAAGAAGAAAAATTTTCTGTTTCAGAGTTTGTTTGTTTTAAGATTTGGGTATCTTATGCTGATTGATTTAATTAGCAGTGAAGTTTTAGTACATTATTAAAAGAAGAATAATTTGGTTAAAAAATTTTGTATTTTTCAGATCTCAGTTTGACTTTTCCTATTCACATGCTTTTCTCTGTCGATATCTGATAGTCACAAATTTTCTTGAAAGCAAAAACATGAACATACTTTGAAAACTGTAAAGCACAATGCAGTTTCTAAGGTGGCATTGTTGTCTCAAGAGTGAATTATTTGGATGAGAAACTCAAGTGCTGTTTTGTTGCTTAAGCAGTAAGCCAAGATCCTAGCTGAGGACTGTCGTTTAAAAGTACTTTAAAAAATCACTTCATTGAACATTTAAAGAATGCTAGTCTTAGACTCGTGGAGTTTAAGAGAAACCTTACTCAGTTCACGTCTAAATTCACAACGAGGACTTATATTATTTCTGAAAATAATTCATCTAGATTAGAGATAGTAAATATGAGGTATTTTTGTTACCCTCCCTTCTGCCAGGCTGTGACAAATATTCTTAACTGATCACAGGACTCCTTCCCACTGACTATATACGCAGTCTCATAATTCTTCTCAGGACAGCATTCTGGGTAACAACTATCTTTCCGATATTGAAATGTGGATTGTAATCCATTTCAGCCCTGAGTGCTGCTTGAGTACCTCTAATTTTACAAGGTACTTAATGTTAAATGAATCCTATTTATTCCATTGTTGGACAGCTCCAGTGTTATAGAATTTTACTTTATGTTAAGCTGAATTTCTTTTTCTCTTAATCATTGGTCCTAGTTTTGCCTTCAGAGCCACATATAATAATACAGTTTATCTTATAGTCATCATGCCTTCAGAAGTCATCTCTTCTTTAGGTTAAACGTCTAAACATTTATAGTGTCTCTTGTCAAAATTGACAAACACATTTTCTCTCCCACTGTCTCACACATGTGTACACACACACGCACACACACACACACACTCTTAGCCTGTGACCACTCCCATACCTCTTCTCCCTCCCTTCTTGTCTTTCCCTTTGCCTGTCAGTGGACATGTTCCGATGCATCGATGTGCTTCTTAAAATGTGATTCCCATTTTCTGGATAGAATATTTTCAGCAAATGCTTTACTGAGGAAATATTTATTGAGTCCTCTTTTATAAATAGCATTGTGCTAAAGTATGTGAAATTTTAAGTAAGTATAGCATACAGTCCTGACACTGAAGCTGCTTCCAGTCTGTTGGGGGACACAAAACACAAGACATAAACAAAAATTTTGTTTAGAGTAGTGAAGATTTTTTAAAGATAAAAACAAGCTTATTTTAAAGTGTATAGGGAAAGGCAACAACTAAAGTAGCTAAAATGATTTTGAAAAAGGAGAATAAATTAGGAAGAATCCCTCTACCTGATATTAAGACTTACTATATCACTATCTTAAGCTTAAGCAAGACTCTGATAATGGTGGAGGAATAAACGCATAGATCACTAGACAAAATAGAGGACCCAGACAGAGACTAACACAAATAACTCCCAACTGATTTTGACAAAGTTGCAAAAGCAGTTCAGCATAGGAAACATAGTCTTCAACAAACGGGCTAGAATAATAGGCAAAAAAAACAAACTTCCCTAAACCTCACACAAATACAAAAAAAAAAATTCAAAATGGATCATTGGTTTAAATGTACAGTGTAAAAGTATAAAAGTTTTAGAAGAAAACAACGGAGAACATCTTCTGGACTTTGGGTTTGGTAAGGAGTTTTTAGATATGACACCAAAAACATGGTCCCTAAAACAAAAACTAGTGAAGTGGACTTAATCAAAATTAAAAACGTGTTCTACATAAGATTCTGGTAAGAAGATAAAAAGGCAAGCTATAGAAGGGGAGAAAATATTTGCAAACCACACATCTGACAAAGGCCTTATATGTAGAATATGTTAAAAAAAAAAAACTCTCAAAACAAAATTTAAAAATCTTGAACAATCCAATTATAAAGTGGGCAAAACACATGAACAGACATTTCACCCAAAGGGAGATAGAGATGTCAACTAAGCACACGAAAAGATGTTCAACGTCATTAGCCATTAGAAAAATGCAGATTAAAACTACAATGAGATACAAATGAGAAGGTATTAGAATAACTAAAATAAAAAGTAGTGATAATACTAAATGCTGATATGCAGAGAAAGTAGATCTCTCACACGTTGCTGATAAGAATGTGTACAGCTACTCTGGAAAACAGTTTGAAAGTTAAAAAAAAAATTAAACATGTACTTACTGTACTTACTGTGTAGGTAAGTACAGTACTTACTGTGTAAGTAAGTACAGTACTTACTTACTGTGTAAGTAAGTACAGTACTTACTTACTGTGTAAGTAAGTACAGTACTTACTTACTGTGTAAGTAAGTACATGTACTTACTTACTGTGACCCAGCAATTACATTTTAAGGTATTTATCCCAGAAAAATTAAAACTTATATTCACAGAAAAACCTGTACATGAATGTTCATAGCAGATTTATTTGTAATAGCAAAATGCTGGAAACAGCCTAGATGCCCTTCAGTGGGTGATGGTTGAACAAACTCTGGTATATCCATGTAACAGATTATTACTCAACAATAAAAAGGAATGAATTACTGATACATGCAGAACCTGGATGGACCTTAAGGGCATTATGCTTAGTGAAAAGAACTAAAACTCAAAATGTTACATATTGTATGATTCCATTTATGTAACATTCTTGAAATACCAAAACTACAGAGATAGAGGACAGATTAATGGTTTCCAGGGTAGAGGGGCAGGGAAGAGTGTGGGGAGTGAGAGGGAATATAAAAAGACAGCATGAGGGAATTCCCTAGTGCCCCAGTGGTTAAGACACCACGGTTCCACTGCAGGGGGCATGGGTTCGATCCCTGGTCAAGGAACTAAGATCCCACATGCTGCGCTGCGTGGCCAAAAAGGCAGCAAGAGGGAGTTCTTTTTTGTGGTGATGGAACAGTTGTGTATCTTGATTGTGGTAGTAGTTACACAAATCTGTGAGTGGGATAAAATTGCATGGAACTACATACACATACACGAAGGTTGAAACAAAGGATGGGAACTGACTAAGGTCTATAATCTAACATTAATGTACAGGTGTCAGTTTCCTCATTTTACTATTGTGCTACAGCTATAATATGTTATAGGGAGTAAGGGGGGACGCTGGGTAGAAGGGTAATGGGACTCATTGTACTGTTTTTGCAATTTGCTTTGAGTGTGCAATGACTTCAAAATAATAAGATTTTAAGGAAAAAAGTAATTTGATTACTTGTTCTTCTGAAGTCTGGAAACCAAACCCAAGAAGTTCTTTATGTTACATATGCAATTCTTATAAACTTTGGTGAATTTCTCAAGATTGACAGATTTGCTTAGGCTCCTGGCCTGCCAGGAAGTGATTTTTCTTACCACCTGTAAGGCTGGTATCTGTAATTCAAGTATGTGGGTGCCATTAACACATAGATGATACGCAAATCATGGGATAAGCTGAGCTCACTCTGTGAAACAGAGTCAGTATTGAAGAGGATCCAGGACTGAGCCCTGAAGAGCTCCAGTTTTTGGAGCCTGGGTGGAGTAGGAGTAGTCAAGGAAGCAAACTAAGAAGGAACAGCTAGAAGTTAGGAACAGCCAGAGGTTGGGAGGAAAATAATGAGAGTGTAGATAAGGTGTCTTATGGGAAATAAAAGTAAATCATCATTGGGCTTCCCTGGTGGCGCAGTGGTGGAGAGTCCGCCTGCCGATGCAGGGGACATGGGTTCGTGCCCCGGTCCGGGAAGGTCCCACATGCCGCGGAGCAGCTGGGCCCGTGAGCCATGGCCGCTGAGCCTGCGCGTCTGGAGCCTGTGTTCCGCAACGGGAGAGGCCACAACAGTGAGAGGCCCACGTACCGCAAAAAAAAAAGTAAATCATCTTTCCCTTTATATTTAATTACATTAGTATCCTAGATGACACATTTCAAGCAAACATT